TTTTTTTTTTAGTATTAGGATCTTTTCTTCAAACGTGGCATTTGAGGCAGATAAATGCAGCTGTGGAGAAGTGGTCTTCTTCACCCCTCTCCCTGTCCCTTCCACCCCAAACCACATTATTATCTGGGCTTCTGGGAATACAGTTTGAAAACCATTGTTACTGAAGGATCTTAAAGAACAAAGGAGGAATCATAATCATTTTAATTAAGTAGAAAGGAGCTAAGTACAATATTCATTTTGGTTTGAGGGTTTGAATATAGGGAATATAAATCTAGAACAGTAGTAGCAGTTATAGGAAGTATTGTGGAGATGACTTAATTATATTTGGAGCAAAATCAGATGTGGTGTGGCTTTTTTGTAGACAGTAATAGGGTTTTGATGTATTTGGTTTGCTGAGTATAGAAATTTGCATGTGCTTTCCACGCTAAAACAGAAAATAAGCCGACTCTGAGGCTAAGAGAGATTACCAAGTTATTTTCCATCGGTCACTGGCAGATTCTGGTGGGCATGCCTCTTTACTAAGGTAGTTTCCCTAAGTGGCACTGACAGTGTAACTTGCTGAACTCCTTTGATTTTTACCACCTATGCATAGGCAAACAGCCTAGCTCAGAATCAGGCTTAATTTGCCAGATTTTAAATTTTTTTTTTTTTCCAACGTTTTTTATTTATTTTTAGGACAGAGAGAGACAGAGCATGAACGGGGGAGGGGCAGAGAGAGAGGGAGACACAGAATCGGAAACAGGCTCCAGGCTCCGAGCCATCAGCCCAGAGCCTGACGCGGGGCTCGAACCCACGGACCATGAGATCGCGACCTGGCCGAAGTCGGACGCTTAACTGACTGCGCCACCCAGGCGCCCCAATTTGCCAGATTTTAAACTTTTCAAAGGCAGCTGTCATCCAACAGGTCTGATAGTACAGATTCTGCTATTTATCTACCCCTATGGCTCCCCTTTTTTACTGCTCTCATTTGTAAAATAAGCTGCCTCTGCTGGTGGCTCTCTGAGCTGAGGTGGTTGGGCCATGCGGTGTGTCATTTCCCTGAAATCCCTGAGCTTGGGGAGATATAGACTGCCTTGGAATGAAGTGGCTAAAAGGGAGGGAATGATAGACTCAGGAAAGATTCTCAGATCTAAAAAGAACCTGAGAAAACATTGCTAGAGTAGGCAAAGGGGAGGGGTGGGAGTTTTTTCCTACTATACATTCCACCTCCCTAACTTGATTTTTGCACCTAGTTTAATTTAATGACCGAAGTAAAAAGTTCCCTCTCTTACGTGAAACTTTTCCAGAATTGCCATTAACAAACATACTACAAACCCCATGAGCTGGTCCTCAGCCAAGAACTCCGGTATGGCGGCTTGTGTATAGTGACCAGTTGTACCTGACTGAGGCATGACAGTGAGAGGAGGAGAGGCCCTGCAGCTTCATGCCATCTGGTTTTCCTCTTTGTCATCAATAGTGATCAGGAATGCAAATGAAGCCCTTTTGCCAAGCAGGGTCTATGCTGGAAGTAGAGCAAGCGAGCTGTTGCCGCTGTTGCCTTGCGGAGCAGCTTCTCCCACAGGTGGTTTTCAACTCTGCTCCAGGAACAAGAGACAAGCCTCAAAGTAGGTTTTTACTGTTATTCAGATAGTGCACGGCTGGGGGCACTTTTCCACTTGGGTTTACTATGCAAATGTTACAGTTAGAATAAGGCAGACTATCTGGAATAGGTGGGGGAATAACCTAAGACCATCAAATGTTAGTGTTAAGTTACTTGATCACTTAGTATGATTTTCTCATTTTACACATGAGGACATTGAGGCCCAGAGAGATAAAGGCTCTTATAAACGTTATCTGTTATATTTCATTTTATCTTCCAAATGTGGATACGTTAAAAAGGAAGAAGAATATAGTATAAGAAGAGAAGGGCATGTAATAGCAAAATAGACTGCAGTCGTTTCTTTTTAGTATTCCCTCAGGAATGGGCCAGCTTAGATCAGCCTCTGTGGGGAGTGACTTGGCTGGCTCCCCAGCTAGCCTTTGAGCATTCGTGTCCTAGAACCCCAAATACCTTGTTTTCTGCTAATCCCCAGGGTAGCAAAAGAGCAACAACATGTTTACCACCCATTTGGTGATGGCTTGGGTTTTGGGATTCTGACAGCTTGCTGCTGGTATCCAGCACACTGACTGCATGCTAAGTGGTGTCAACTGTTTCTAAGCCGTTATGCTGTCATTGCTTACACTCCTCTTGGCAATCCTCTGCCAACTGATGATGATGATATTGATATTGATGATGACAGGTGTGTGTGTGTGTGTGTGTGTGTGTGTGTGAGAGTGTGATGGGGGCAGTGTTCTAAAAGGTCTGTTGATTGGGAAAACACGTTCAGGAAGCAACTAAATTTAGCTCTTTGTTTAACCCAAATCTTTTCTCTCTGGAAAGCCTTTTTGAGTCCTTTGATAGTGCTGTTTCCAACAGTCACAGATTGTCAGATATTCCTCCACTTGGACTTACCCTGCTAAATACGATATCCAGGAGTCATATACTTGTGTGTTAGGTTTGGCTATAAATAGTGTGAGATGCGTGTGCGCTCTCTGTGTTCGGTGGTAAGCGGTCCCCAAAGGACACTAGTTAGGAGAGAGATAAGGCTTCGAAGTAGAATCTTTGCTCAACATTCATAATACTCTAAAAGAAATATTTACGACCATTCGGTCAGAATACTGTGCTTATTTTGTGTAAGTGACTCTAAGACCTTGCATTCGTTATTAAAATGTATCAGAAAATGGAAAGATACCATATATGCCTAGAGTCCTGTGAGTGTGGACATTAATTGCACTGGATATTGAGAAGCAGGAGAGGTCCTGAAGGCTGGGCTGATGAGGGACGGCTTCACAAAGGGAGCAGGACAGAAGCCTTGAAGCACTGGGCAATCTTCGCTAGGCAGAGAGGAAGAAGAGATGCGTGGGTGGGCTGGTAGGTGCTGGTGAATAGTGTGAAAGAGCCATGGGAGATTGGCCATTGTCTGGTTTGGCCAGGGCACTGAGTTTGCATGGGGGACTAACAGGAATTAAAAATACTTTGGACCGGAGCACAGAGCCTTGTGTGCATATGCTGTCCTTGTCCTATGCCATAGAGAGCAGCTTAAGGGTTCTGAAAATGACATTGTCTCA